AAGCACTCATCACAGCCACTGTCACAGTCACTGCTCAGTCCCCATGTTCTGTGCCCAAACAACTCCCTGTGGTCTACTGGCCACATTCTCTTTCTTAAAGGATACCAAAAAGGAATGAAAAGGCAAGCCACATCATGGAAAAAGATGCTTGTAGCATAAATAACAGACAAAAGGTAACTAGCTTATACAAATAACTCCTAAAATATAATTGGAAAAAGACACACAATTCCCACCCAAAAGAAGTGAGAAGAGTGGCATTGTGGCGAGCGGGTAAAGCCACCTCCTGCGACAACAGCATCCTGGTTCCAGAGCCAGCTGCTCCACTGCCAGCCCAGCCTGCTGGCTGTGGTGGGAAAGCAGCAGAGGATGGCTCAAGTGCTGACGCCCCTGCACCCACATGGGAGATCCAGAAGAAGCTCTAGGCTCTTGGCTTTGGCACAGCACAGTCCCAGCCACTGTGGCCATTTGGGAGTGACACAGCAGACGGATCTCTTTCTGTCTCTCCCAATCTCTCTCTCTGTAATTCTGCCTTTCAAATAAATAAAATCTAAATCTCAAAAAAAAAAAGGATTTAGACAAGTTAAGTTTACACAAGAATATCAGTTAAACATTAAAAGGATGTCTAATGACATTAGTAATTAATGAAATGCAAATTAAAACCACAGAGAGAAACATTAACACATCTATCAAAATGGTAAAAATTTTCAAGTCTGATAATAAAAAGTATTGGAAAAAATATAGAATGGGGACTCTCATCCACTGCTGATAGGAGTACAAATTAGTCTAACTATTTTGGAAAAGAGTTTGGTATTATCAAGTAAGTAGAGACACATTTATCTAATGATTTAGCAATTCCATTAGCAGGTTTATAGTCTGGAGGGGCGCTGCACGGGCACCAGGCTACTAGTGCAAGAGTGTTCACCACCTTGGCCATCACAGTCCCAAATAACACCCAAGCTGCTGCCACTACCAAATCAGGGATGAACCTTAAAAACACGATGGTGAGTGAAAAGAGCATGCCATAAAGTACATATATGTGGTCCCATTTATTCACAGTTCAAAACAGACAACAATAAACCTTCCTGCTTGGAGATGCCTGTGTAGGAAGTGAACCAGCAGTCACAAGCTCTGGCCCCAGGGTCACGTCCAGCACTGCCTGCCTACGTGTGCCCATGAGCTAATAATGTCTTAGAGTTTTAAACACTTGGGGGAGAGGGCACTGAAAGAAGAACACTTTGTGAAATTCAGATATGCATCCGTAAGTAAAGAACTGGGTATCGTCTGTGGCTTCCTGTGAGGTACAACAGTAGAAATTGTGAGTGAATCTGTTGGGCCTACAATGCCTACAATATGTACATCTGACCCTTTTCTGAAAACAATTGCCAAACCCCTGAGTAAAACTACAAAGTAAGCAAGGAGATGACTATCACAGAAGTCAGGACAGGGGCCGGCACTGTGGTGCAGCGGATTGGCACCCTGGCCTGAAGTGCTGGCATCCTATATGGGCGATGGTTCGAGATCCAGCTGCTCCACTTCCAATCCAGCTCTCTGCTATGGCCTGGGAAAGCAGTAGAAGATGGCCCAAGTCCTTGGGCCCTTGCATGGGAGACCCAGAGGAAGTTCCTGGCTCCTGATTGGCGTAGCCCAGGCCGTAGCAGTCATTTTGGGGGTGAACCAACAGAAGGAAGATCTTTCTCTCTGTCTCTCTATCTCTCTCACTGTCTATAACTCTACCTGTCAAATAAAATTAAAAAATAAAATTAAAAAATAAAATAAAATAAATGAATCTAAATTAGACCTCTCTCGGAAGGCACACTCTCAGTGATCCAGACATACGGACACTGGCCTCACCTCCTAGCCACCATATGTATAATTAGATTAAGTCTCCACCCTTAATCCATCAGCTATTAGCATTAAGATGTTAGAGTTTAAATACCTGCTATACCCCAAGCATGTTGTTAGTTGTTTATAACTAAACATTTAGATGTAAGGCATTTGGATCCCCCATTTGCACACTCATTCTGGGCAGCAAACACAACATTAGTAAGGAGACTGTCTCCAGCTCATTGTCAAATGTGAATTTTTTGCCGGCGCCATGGCTCACTTGGTTAATCCTCCGCCTGCGGCACCGGCATCCCATATGGGTGCAGGGTTCTAGTCCCGGCTGCTCCTCTTCCAGGCCAGCTCTCAGCTGTGGCCCAGGAAGGCAGTGGAGGATGGCCCAAGTGCTTGGGCCCTGCACCTGCATGGGAGACCAGTAAGAAGCACCTGGCTCCTGGCTTCGGGTTGACGTAGCTCAGGCCATAGCAGTCATTTGGGGGGTGAACTAGCAGAAGGAAGATCTTTCTCTCTGTCTCTCTCTCTCACTAACTCTATCTGTCAAATTTTAAAAATGTGAATTTTTACTAACTGTATAATGAGAAATGGCATTTTAGGATATTGGGAGTTGCATTACTGTTACAATGAATAAAGCCTAACGTTTAAGAGCTATTTATAATATTTTTGTGATTATTGATCATTTTCACTTGCTAGAAGCTCTTCTTTATTAGGAAAACTAATTCTTTGTGATGTAAATAAATAAATATTTTTCCTGGTTTTTCATCTGTATTTTAGGCTTGGGACCTTTTTTTCCCAAAGCTTCATTACTGCACCAGTTCCTTGCTCTCTCCTTCCTGGCTCACCTTGTGATAGTGCCTCCACACCACCACGACGCGTTTCCACCAGACACCAGACTGTGGGGCTGCCTGATCTTCAGCTGTAACCTCCAAACTGTAAGCTGTAACCTTTTCTTCCCCCCAAGAAGCTCCTCTCAGGTATTTAAATTAAAGTAATCAAGAGAAGACTTTAACAGACAATCTTCTAAATCAAGTATGATCTATCCTCCTTCCTTGGCAAAGACACCTTCATGAGGATGGGGAGGTGCAGGTTCAAGTTCAGAATTCTTGCACTCCTCAGCCTTCTTCATGAAAGACACCAGGCAGAGCCTCCAGTGGTAGCCCATCCCCTTCTCCTCCTAGATTACAGCATGGGGGTCTCACAGTCACACGTGGACTCTTCTCCTGCCCCTTGGTCCTACAGAGGAAGGGGAACCTGCAGATCCCAGAAGTGGGCTGGGGTCCATCTGAGCAAGGAATTCTAGGGTGCAGCATACCTGGAATGTGGTCTAGAAGGCAGGACATGAGACTCATGTGGGCATGTCCTCTTGCCTCATAAACATCTTATACCCAAGGGCCAGAGCAGAATCCTGTAAAGCAATCTCTTTGGGCTTGAACCTAGGTGCCCACGGCTGTGGGAAAACACACTTTCACACATTGCTGGTAAAAGCACACAATGATACAAAGCTCTCAGAAACTGTTTTGGCAAGATCTATTAGCAACGCATTTTTTTAAAGAAAGGTTGTCGCTCCCCGTCTTCGCGGAGGAATGACACAGGACCCTGCGCTGTTCTTTTGTCTGCTCGGCCCTCCCCGGGTTTGCTGCTGGTTCTTCCCGGGTTGGTTACCATCCCTTCCACCTCCGTGGAAGGGCAGTTCCCCCTGCCATTTTCCCCACTTCCGCGGGGGAGCGGCACACCGCTGGCCGGCTCTCTCGGGGGCTGCACAGGTGTTCCTTCAGATAGATGTTCCCGGTGCATGTTGTCTCTCTCCTCATTTATAGTCCTCTTCCACCAATCCCAACTCTGCTACCCACACGCCGAGTACGCTGCTCTCCTCCAATCAGGAGCAGGTCCTGCTGTTTATTGGTTGAACTGGAGGCAGCTGTGTAGAAGCTGTTTCCTCCTCTCCCAGCGCCATATTGTGGGAGAGCAGATGCATAGAATAAGTCTTAATTCCAGTAACATAGTCTAGTCCAGTTGCTCCCCACAAAAGGTTTTAGTTAATGAATGCAAATTTTATAGATACAACTTTAGCATTATAGTGGTTATTCCCCCTCTACCCGTCCTCCCACCCCCACTCCCATCCCACCTCCTACTCCCTCTCCCATCCCATTCTTCACTAAGATTCGTTTTTAATTAACTTTATATACAGAAGACTGACTCTATACCAAGTAAAGATTTCAACAATTTGCACTCACACATGCACACAAAGTATAAAGTATTGTTTGAAAACAAGTTTTGCAGTTAATTCTCATAGTACAACTCATTAAGGACAGAGGTCCTACATGGGGAGTAAGTGCACAAGGACTCCTGTTGTTGATTTAACAATTGACACTCTTAGGTATGACGTCAGTGATCACCCGAGGCTCTTAGCAATGCATTTATGCTTTGACCCAGCAATCCCACTGATCCAAACTATCCATTAAACACATCTGTCTCATATATACAACGTTATTCATACAGGTAAGGTTATTCACCTCAGCACTGTTTACTGGAAAGCCACACAAGTGTGAACCTGTGGGGAACTGAGTAAACAGACTATGGGATATTCACACCATGGAAGAGGAGTGAGAGCAGTCTCTCTGCATTTGTATGAAAAGACGATTTCTTTTGCATCATATTTTTATGTATGCACTGTCTCCTAAAAACAAATGAAGTGAAAGAAAAATAAAACAAAAGGCACCAGCACCCAGAAGGCAGGAGAGCCAACAGTGCCACCCCTCCCCAGCCCAGGCTGACCGAGGACAGAAGTCGGGGAAGGACAAGGAGGAGATGAGCATAGTTTGCTCAGGAGGAAGGCTGGGAACCTGAAGGCTGGCGGAGAGCACCTGTGCACCCGCACAAGACTGTGTGAGCTCGAGCTCCTGGGAAGTGGGAGTCTCTGTCTCTGCTTCTCTCTTGTCAACCTCTGGGTTTTCAGAAGGTCTCTGGAGCATCCCAGCCATTTAAGGTTTGGGGGCATGATGGTTAACAGCAAGCCCCAAGGCCAGGGCTGTGGAGAATAATCAAACTGCAACCCCCAGGGACAAGACAAGCCTTGAGAGCAGAGTGAGAGCTGCAAAGACCAGCTCCCTTCCTAACCAGGAGATTCTTCTATGCTAAAACAGGAGAATCTGGAAATTTTCTTCTCTTTATTTAAGAGACATGCAGACAGAGAAAGACAGAAGCACAGAGAGCTCTCATCCCCAGTTCACTCTCCAAATGCCCTGGGAGCCAGGAACAATACAGGTCTCCCACGTGGATGGCAGGGACCCAAGTAGCTGAGCCATTACCTGCTGCCTCCTGGGGTGCACATTAGCAGGAAGTTGGAGTCAGCAGCAGGGCCAGGACTCAAACTCCTGTATTCTGATATGGGATGCAGGCTCCCAACTTGCATCTTAACTACTAAGCCTAATGCCCACCTCTGGAATTTATTTTTATTAAGGGATAGGGCTTCCTCCATTTCCTGCTGCTCCAGTCCAAGCTGCTGCTGGGCCTGGCTGGCTAACCCAGTGCCAGGTGGCCAGGGTGCTGTGACATTTCAGATGCTTCATCTAATTGACCTCAGCCTAAGCCAGCAAGAGGACGGGCTGGAAGAAATGATCACTGCATTCTCATCTATCCCACCCTAGACAACTGATCAACTGATCAGGAGTTGTGTGGTTTTGTTTGTTTGTTTTTTTTTTTTTTTTTTTTTTGGACAGGCAGAGTGGACAGTGAGAGAGAGAGACAGAGAGAAAGGTCTTCCTTTTCCATTGGTTCACCCTCCAATGGCTGCTGTGGCCAGCGCACTGCGGCCGGCGCACCGCGCTGATCCGATGGCAGGAGCCAGGTGCTTATCCTGGTCTCCCATGGGGTGCAGGGCCCAAGCACCTGGGCCATCCTCCACTGCACTCCCGGGCCACAGCAGAGAGCTGGCCTGGAAGAGGGGCAACCGGGACAGAATCCGGTGCCCCAACTGGGACTAGAACCCGGGGTGCCGGCGCCACAGGCGGAGGATTAGCCTATTGAGCCACGGCACCGGCCAATCAGGAGTTCTAATCAGAAAAACTAAAGCATGCATGGGCCAACAGCTGTGTTAAGGCAAAAGGTATGTTTCTCAAACAATGGGCCACTCACCCCTTTTCCCAGACAGGCGAGTGCAGGAATCACTTTCTCCTGCGCAATGCACTGCAAGATCCGGGGAGCTCCGTAGAGTCCTCCCATGCAGGAGGCCAGAGACGAGATGTACAAGCCCAGAAGGAAGAGGAAGCCCACCAGGGACACCTAGGTGAGAAAACGGCTTCATCATCCAGTGCCACAGCCCTTCCACTGCCGCCACACTGCCCACCCTGCTGCAGCTGAGCACAGGACGTCCTCCAGGGTCACCCTCGGGGATAGAGTAATTCCCCAATCCCCAGCCCCACCCTACTGCATGCCACTACTCCAGGTTCGCCCACATTTGACATGGACTGCACACGCTTTCTCAAACCAGCAGGCATCAGACTCATCTGTAAGGCTTGAGAAAACACGGATTTCTGGGAACCAACTCCGGAGTTTCTGAATCAATGATCTGGGGGTAGGGGTGAGAACCTGGATTTTCAACAGGTTCCCAGAAGACCTTGATGCTGGTGGGCTGGGGACCACACTTTGAGAACCACTGGCCAACCACAAAGCTAACAGCCTCCTGTCTCTATGCTCTCCTCACTCTGTGTCATCCTTAGACTCTGCCAGAGTCACTGATCTGAACCAGATCTGACCCAAATGCCCCTGCTACAAACATGCCTGCAGCTCCCACATGGCTCATGACCAAGTGTGCCCCACACTCAGCACACAGAGTCGTGGGTCAGCATGATTTCTCTGCCTGCTGGAGCGCTCTACCCACCACATCCCCTAATCTACTCATTGTCTGACTGCTAAACTGTGCTTCAGGACTCAGCACAAACCTCACCTCCTCTATGAGGCCGCCTCCAATCCCCCTCGCCATAGGGGCTGCTCCTCAGAGTTCTGTGGGCCCCTCAAGGGGATGTGAGGACAGCTGCTTTGGGAGCATCAGCCCAGTATTCTGTGTCTAGCAAAGACAAATGCTGGGGGCTGAATGGGACCCATGTCCCCTTGGCCCATAAGGCACCAGCAGAGTCAGAGAGGGCCAGCAAAAGATCAGCACCACTCCCCGTGCACTTGTGTCCCTGCCTGCCAGCCTGAAGCCATCACACCTTCCTGAGCTGGACCTCATCCACACCCAGTGGAGTCTCTCTGCTCTCCTGGGTCTCTGCGGTGCCCTCCCCATTCCACTCAACTTCAGGCTCAGTGGCCAGAACTGGGGATGCCATGTGTCTTTACCCAACCAGCACAGATAAGTCAGGTTTAGTTTCCAACTCTGCCACTTAACACCCTTCTTGATGAAGACTCTCCTTACCCCAAATTTTATTTCTTTCTTGAGCAATACACTGGATCCCTGTCATTGAGCTACACTGAACATAAGCATGGAGAGGAATCTTCCTGGCTCATAAATTATCACTGGAATAATCTGACCACCTGGGGAATCCTGCATCAGTCTGGATTTGCATCAGGAAAAAGATATCCCCCCGCTTTAATGCTATACTTGTAGGACCCTGCAGGTTGGCAGAATCATCAGGAAGCTAAAAGTTCAGGTTTGGAGAAAGGCAGGACAGAAGCCTGGAGGCACACCCAGACTCTTCAACAGCATCAGTCTGCCAGGATGCTCCAGCACCTGCCACCTGCAGAGGAACTCTCATCATTTCTTTAAAAAAACTTACTTACTTTTTTTTTTTTAATTGGAAAGACAGACACTTAGAGAGAGCTTCCATCCTCTAGTTCACTCCCCCAAATGCCTGAAACAGCAGATGCTAGGCCAGGAAAAAGCCAGGTGTCTGGAACTCAACCCAAGTCTCCTCCACAGGTGGCAGGCACCTAAGTACTTGGCTCATCATCTGCTGACACCCAGGATGCACATTAGCAGGCAGCTGGAATGGAGAGCACAGGAGCTGGGACTTGAACCCGGCACACAGATAGGGATGTGGGTGGCGACTTAACTGCTGTGCCCAATGCCCACCCCTCACCACCTCTCTCTTTTTGCCTCATTAATTACAGCTGAGCATCTGATGACCTAGTCTAGGGGCTGCAAAGGGACAGGCAGGAGAGGGTTTGGTCCTCTGGGCTGCTGTGATAATAAATGGGTCACTCCCTCCCTTCAGGGGGATAATGTAATGCAGATCACCTGCAGTGGGCAGGGACGTCAGAGGCTTGATAGACAAAAACTCACAACCACCACAGAGCCTGTCTTGTCTGTGATTCAGTGTGGGTTGCTCTGCCCTACAGAAATGCAGGCTCTTGTTATCCCCTTTAAGCTCACTTGTCTCAACTCTTCACCGCCCATTTTATTACTTGACATACACTGCTCTGATGGTGTTTTGTTATCTTTTACCCCGGGGATAGTTCATTAGCTCACGGCTTATCTTGCCAGTGCACAAGCGCCCCTTAAGTGAAGATGCGTATCATGCATCCTGGCCCCTGCCTTGCAGCACCTGACACACAGCCGGCAAACAGTGCTAAGCAGCTGAATTAATGAGGCCACATAACTTCTCTGTGATCCATGCCCTCAAGGTCTCATAAACTGCTAGATAAACTGGTCCCATGATCAATCCTTGGTGTACTCCGAGATGTGATCATTCATTTATCATCTTGCTTTCTGTCTTCTCTACCCAATCCATCCTATGCGGATTGTTTTTTGTTTGTTTGTTTGTTTGTTTTTATAAGCAGACAGACTCCATGATAAAATTTTATCATCAGCTTTTTGAAAATGTAACTCTGTAGGGTTCCACTCTAGCAACAGGTGAGAATCACCCCAGGCTTCTGATCTGACTAGTATGGAATGGGACACAGACATTGTGGAGTCTTTTAAAGCCCCCAGGTGACTGCAATGTGCAGCCAGCATGGCGATGCCCTGGGAAGAGCACAGCGTACCCATTGCACTCCCCCTTCAAAGAATTCCTGAGGAGATTCAAGCCTGGCATCTCCTGGCAGAAATTCACTGTTTCTTACCCAGAAGGTAAGTTGAAATTTAATAAGCACCCACTATGTGGCAGGTGTTGTGCATTGATAGTTATCTCAGACCTACTGCAGTATACTAAAAATTCTTAAGAAAGCAGAACATTATTGAGACTGACATTCAAGAACAGGGAAAGTAATAGAACTAGGCCAGAGAAGCTGCAGGAAACCCAGAAATGGATCAACTGGCCAGCAGCAGATCAGCAGAAAGCAGCGAGGGCGGCCTGCAGCCATGGGAGACAGTTCTGGCAGAAGGCTGTGGGGAGAGAGGGAGATGTCCACTGAGCAGCTCATGGGAACCAGTGCCAAGGGAAGCAGTCAGAGGCCAGCCCTGCCTGTGTCCCACAGTGATACTTCTGGCACACAGAGGCAGCCTCACTTCAGGCCCCAGGAAAGCTCAGAGATGGGCTCAGAACTGAGGCCATAGTTAGGACATGAAGCTGAGCTGCGTGACTTGCTAAAGCCATACCAGGATGGGAGACTGCCTCCTGTGTCCAGCAGAGACTCTGTCCTTGCCCCTCCAGCCTCGTTGCTGCAGCCTCTATTCTCTAGGTACCGGCAGTGAAATCACTTGTGGTCCAACTTACTACTGGAGTACAGTGCCTGCTATTGCTGCCAGGTCAGACCCAACAAGAGACACTTTAGATACTTGAGGAAAGAAGAAAGCTCTGGAGGAAAATCCTGTGTGCCCCCTTTTGGAGGAGTTGAGGGAGGGGCACCTGACATTAGGGCGCTGCTATTTTGGAGCTGCCATGGTTGGTTCCTTACTGTGTACTCACTTGCTGCACCTGCCCCTGGTTGCCACTGAGAACTAAGAGCAGTGGGCTTGCTTCATTTTTCTTTATAGCCTTTCTAATAATTCATCCCAAGGAAATAATATCATCCTCTCCAAAAACTAAATCTCCACCTTTTATCCTAGAGTGTGCATGTGTCCAAATATTGCTGATGGGCCTGATTTAACAGGTGCCCCCAACTGGCAACAGCTCGCCTGCCTGTCTTGCCATCTGGGGCAGGTGGCATTCCTGGGTACAGGTGTTGATTATCCAGTGTGGGGTTTCAGCCTCAGAAACTACTGTGCTGTCTCGGAAGAAGTCTGTGCCTTCCCTGGACACCAGGCTGCCTGCCCCACCATGGGTCCATTCTGAATGTTGCGCACAAAGCAGGGAAGCAGAGGAGAGACGAGCCCAGTGGGGCTCCTCATTCCATCCACATCAGAGTCCCTGATGATTGAAAGGATTTCTCTGGAGGAAGCGCTAGAAAGGAAGCAGTTTCAGAAGACCAAGCCAGCCACTGGAGAGTTGCAGACAAGCCACGATCAGTTCTCCCTGGTCAAACGATCCTTCCTTCTTTATCGGCCCCCAGAGGCCTCCAGTCCCTCTAACGCAGCCAAGCTTTTCATTCCACAACTGGAGAAAAGACCCTCGGAGATGAAACTCCAGACAGACACGTGCATGTGGATACAAAGACAGACACAGGTTCCTTCCCCCAGAGCAAGCCTCGCTACCTGGGGTCAGCTCTGGTACTGCCTGATCTGCTCCCCGTGTCGGCCTGCAGGCAAGACCCTTGAAAACAAACATCACCTCTGCATGAGTCTACACGACTTACAAGGAAATCCGTGCTAACGGAGTTTATGGGTGCCTGTATCTCATATCTAGAGTACCTGGTTTGAGTCCTGGCTTCACTCCAGATTCCAGCTTTCTGCTAATGTGCACCTTGAGGCTGGTGATGACTCAAGTGCTTGGGCTCCTGCCACCTCCATGGGAAACCTGGATTGAGTTCCAGGCTCCTGGCTTTGGCCTGGTCCAGCCCTGGCTGTTGCTTACATATGGGGAGTGAACCAGCATATGGAAGACTTCTCTCTCTCTCTCTCTCTCTCTCTCTCTCTCTCTCTCTCTCTGCCTTTCAAATAAAGTGAAGATAATTAAATAAGAAATTGCTTTCAAAAGTGAGTTCCGAGCTCCCTGCCGCAGTATGTCCTAAGCACTGGCCCGCTCTGAGGCAGGTCCAGGCTGCTCCACACAGCCTCACCCCACGAGAACACAGCACTCTCTCCTAAAACACAAGCAGGGAGACTCAGCGAGACTCAGGCTGAGGGCCTGGCAGAGAAAGGCAGGGCAGCAGGGGCCCCTCTGATCCCCATCAGAGACAGGCAGCTGGGTGGGGAGGGAGTTTCTCTTCTCTGACGGGAATCACAAGGCCTGCTTTTCCTCCAGGAAACTAAGGAAAGTAGTTTTGGGGGATTTCCAGAAAAAATGTTTGGAAATTTTATTCTTGGAGGGTCAAGTGATGCCAAACAAGTGTCCTTGGATTACATGACCTCCAGCTGGCTAGCAGCGATCAGGGAACACAAGGAATTCACTCATCCTGGAGCCTGGGATTCTCAGGGCAACCAGAAAGCTGAGGGTTGTTGGGGACAGGGCAGATCCTCCTGCCCTGTCTTTGCCAGGCGTTCACCCTGGTGCTGGGCTCCTTAGTATCACTCCACCTCCCTGCCCCCTTTTCTGTCCCTCAGCCTCCTCCTTTCTTGCTTCTTGTGACCGGCAGTTTGTGGTTTGGGTGGAAAGTGAACCAACTGGCAAAACACAGGAGTTGGGGCTGGCGTTGTGGGGTACTGGGTTAAGCTGCTGCCTGCGATGCTGACATCCCATGTGGATGCTGGTTTGAGTCTGGCTGCTCCACTTCTAATCCAGTTCCCTACTAACATGCCTGGGAAAGTAGCAGATGGCCCAAGTGCATGGGCCCCTGCCACCCACATGGGAGATCCAAATGAAGCTCCTGGCTCCTGGCTTTGGCCTGGCCCAGCCTGAGCCATTGTGGCCATTTGGGGAGTGAACCAGTGGAAGGAAGATTCTTTCTCTTACTCTGTAACTCTGCCTTTCAAATAAATCTTTTTAAAAAACACAAGGCTTATGAGCTGAGAGTTTGGGTGGCTGGCCTTTTTTTTTTTTTTTGTATTTCTGTCCTGATTTTTGACATGGAAATGGCTCCAGTCTCTAGTTACCTGAATTCATGTGCCTCCCTGGGTACTGGGACTGATTTCTAGGGCTCCATACACAGAAGCTGTAAGTTTCCCATCAGTTTTGAGCCCCAGGACTGAAGTCTCCCAGATGGAATGCAAGGGGGAGGCAGCCCCGGTAGGTGGGAGCAGCGACCCAGCTGACCAAGTGAGCCCTCTGGGCAGCGCAGGACTCACACACCTTCTCAGCTATCAGGAAGTCATAGCGAAGAGCCTCTCGGGTGCAGACGGCGCCCAGCAGGAGAACGAAGACGAGGTACAGAAACCACCTGTAAAACCCAAGAGCACAGCAGAATGCCACCAGCCCCAGCCAAGCCCACCCCAACCTCACACCACTCCACCTCTGGTTTCCTGTGGGGGCTGACTCAAAACTATAGAGACAAGCCAGTTACCAGGCCTCCCCAGCCGGCTGGGGTGAGGGGCCTTTTTCTACTGTTTCTCCTCTAGCATATTTTGTACCAAAAATGAAAAATAAGCATCATTGCTTTCTCTTTTTCTTATATTAAAAGAAGAAAAAGTTGATCAGCATTGTGGTGTACCAGGTTAAGCCTTGGCCTGCAACACCAGCATCCCACATGGGCATCGGTTTGAGATCTGGCTGCTCTGCTTCTGATCCAGCTCCCTGCTAATGCACCTGGGAAAGCAGCAGAAGATGGCCCAAGTCCTTAGGGCCCTGCACCAAGGGGAGAGCCAAACATGGGAGACCAAGAAGAAGCTCCTGGCTCCTGACTTCAGCATGGCCTACCCTCAGCCATTGTAGCCATCTGAGAAATAAGCTACTGGATGGAAGATTATTTTCTCTCTATCTCAGTCTCTCCTCCTCTCTCTGTAACTCTGCCTTTCAAATAAATGAGAAATAAATCTTTTTGAAAGAAAAAGAAAAACACACAAAGGGTCAGGGGAGGGGAAGTAAGAGGCTAATGGGCCCCTGTGTTAGGATTTGGGGCAGCCACACACTCGACCCTCCCTGTGCAGAAAAACAAGTTGATGACCTTTTGGGCCTCTCAGTTCTGTTGGTTTTTGGAGCACAGATAATAGAAAGGAAAAAAAGTATGTAAAGGCACAGTGGGCTGGCTGTGTCCCCAAGATGTCTATTAATCTTTTTTTTTCTTTTTTACAATTTATTTATCTACTTGAAAAATAGAGTTACAAGAAGACACAGGAGGAGACAGAGAGAGGGGTCTTCTATCTGCCAGTTCACTCCTCAAATAGCCACAATGGCTTCAGCTGGGCTAGTCTGAATTCAGGAGCCAGGAGATTCTTCCAGGTCTCCCAGTGGGTGCAGGGGCTCAAATACTTGGGCCACCTTCTGCTGCTTTCTCAGGGAGCTGAATCAGAAGTGGAGCAGCCAGGACTTGAACCTGCACCCATATGGGATGCTTGTGCCACAAGCAGTGGCTTTACCCCTAATGCCACAGTAATCTTGAACAAGCACATGACCCCTGTGTGACTTCTGGTGACCACCTGGGCAGTGGCTGAGTAGGCCAAAGGTTCCTCCCAGGACATCCCAAGGATCACTAAAACCAAGGCAGGGTTCCCACGTAGAACCCACTTTCTTTTCTTTCCTCCCCAAACTCCACTGTACCTCCGTTGTCTTCATTTTGCTCCCATTGCTATTGCCTTATTTTGTACAAGACAGCCTGGTGTATGTGCCTGGCTGGTTGCAACAGTGCAACTGCAGTAAGCAAACAGCAGACTCAGTACTTGTGACATAGATGTATTAATGCCTTTAAAACAATCACAACTGGAGCTGGTGTTGTGGTTCAGTGGGTTGCACTACCACTTGCAATGCTGGTATCCCACATGGGAGTACTGATTTGAGTTCTGGCTGGTCTGCTTCCCATCCAGCTTTCTACAAATGTACCTGGGAAAGTGGCAGTACCTAGGGCACTGTCCAGATGGAATTCCGGACTCCTGGTTGTTGGAGCCATTTGGGGAGTAAACCAACAGATGGAATATCTCTATCGCTCTACTTTTCAAATAAATAAATTTTTAAACAATATCACAGTTTAAATAACTTCTTAACTCACTGTCATGTCTATGATCTCACTGCCTTTTCACACCCACCCAGTCAAGGGCAGCAAAACTTCTTGTGGCACAGAGAGAAAAACAAACAATCCTAGCAGGCCAGAAACAGACCCAAAGGCTGGCCAGCCTCCTAGTAGGAGTGGCACAAGGTGAACTAAAGACCCAGAAGCTGGAGGGCCTTGGGGAGATGGAGGGGAGGCCAGCTGGGGGCAGCAGGAGAGCCAGTGTCTCTGGGCCTGCCCTGCAGCTTCACACACAGCCAGTGAGGCACACAGATCATCACTACTCCACTTTCCCAGAAAAGGAAACAAGCTCAGAGAGCTAAGTGAGGTGGCAGAGTCACACAGCCCATCAGCGGCAGAGCTGAGATGCAAACTTTCATCTGTCTAATTGCAAAGCTCTTCATCCTTATGTTCCCTCCAATAATCCTGGAAATGCAATGGTTAAGAAAAATCTCCAACTTCAAAGTAGGGGTGTGAAAAGGGGGGCTGGAGGCTGAGGGAAAGGCTGGGTCTGTGATCTGCATTCCCGCCACTCCTCCCAGGCAGGGCTATGAAAGGGCAGTGTCTGAACGCACCAGACGGGAATTTTCCAGCCCACCGAGTGTTAAAAGGAGGATCAGGGTATGAAATAGACCGGTCACAGTCGGGGCGCTCTCGGAACAAAGGGGGCAATCCCCTCTTCAGCCTGGGGTTTTCTCTCCCACTCTGCAGCTCAGACCGATCACCACGCGGGGGACTTACGAGATGCCAACAGCTGCCAGCGAGCCGAGCGGGATGCTGGCGGCCGGCTCCCTGAGGTCGCCCCCCATGTTGAAGCCAGCCATGACTCCTGAAAGACACACAGGCAGGGGATGGGGTGACAGAGCGACTCCAGGAATCCCCTCCCTTCCTCCGGGGCCCTCTCCTGGAAGCTCTCTCTTGCCCAGCCCTCCCATCTGCAGCTCTGTGAACGGGCGCTTCTCAATCTCCCCTGGCAACTGGGGAGGCATCTGCGTGGCTGTGAAAGGGGCCTTTGTGGGTGGGGAAGTGCGCACAAGGAAAACCCTCTTGGCTACAAAACCATCTGATTACTGGTTGCAGAGTAAGGAGGGTGACGCAGGCATCGTGCACACACAACATCCCGGTGCTGCCTGCTCAGCCCTGGCCTTCCCAGCTGGCAGATGCCCCGGAGAGGCTCAGCACTAGCGAGAGGCCTGGCAGTTCCTGTGCAATTTCACTGCTACAGCTACCCGCTCCTTTTGCTGGGGGTTCAGGTGCCCTGGGGTTACCAACCAGCCTCACAGCTCCTGAGCTACCCAAGGGTTCTAAGGAAACCGAAACCCACTCCTAGGACAGGAATTTGCCATAGAAGTTAAGATACTGGTTAAGATGCCTGCATCTCATATCACAGTGCCTAGGTTTGACTCCTGACTCCACTCTCAGTTCCAGTTTCCTGCTAATGCACACCCTGGAAGACAGAATGCGACGGCTCAAGGACTTAGGTCCCTGCCACACGTGTGGGGGACCCAGACTGAGTTCTCAGCTCCCGGCTTCAGCATAGCCTAGCCCTGGCTGTTGCAGGAATTTAGGGAGTAAATCAGAGGGCGGGAGATCTCTGTCTCCCTTTGTGTCTATCTCTTGGTCTCTCCGCCTTTCAAATAAATAATTGTTTTTAGAAAAGCAATCCTGGGCCGGCGCTGCGGCTCACTAGGCTAATCCTCCACCTTGCGGCGCCGGCACACCGGGTTCTAGTCCCGGTTGGGGCGCTGGATTCTGTCCCGGTTGCCCCTCTTCCAGGCCAGCTCTCTGCTGTGGCCCGGGAGTGCAGTGGAGGATGGCCCAGGTGCTTGGGCCCTGCACCCCATGGGAGACCAGGAAAAGCACCTGGCTCCTGGCTCCTGCCATCGGATCAGCGCGGTGCGCCGGCCGCAGCGCGCCGGCTGCGGCGGCCATTGGAGGGTGAACCAACGGCAAAAGGAAGACCTTTCTCTTTGTCTCTCTCTCTTTCACTGTCCACTCTGCCTGTCAAAAAAAAAAAAAAAAACATAAATAAATAAATATAAAAAAAAAAAGAAAAGCAATCCTGATGACTGAGCTGCAGGTTCCTTTCCATCACTACCTCCCTTCCCAAGAACACAAATGGAAACTGAGTTACTGCGTGACGGTGAAGGACCAACAGCACAGTGCCAGGTGATGAGAGTGCGGCTCCTTCCATCCTGCTAGGGTTTGCATTTGGTGTGAATGTGTCCCCAAAGTGCCCAGGCATTCTTATGATGGAGGCTTGGTCCTCTGCATGGTGACATTAAGAGGTGGTGTGACCTCTCTTAAGAGGAGAGTTCAGGGGGAGGTCATTAGGTCCCCAGGGGCCTTGTGCTAGGAAGGGATTAGTTCTCATGGAAGGGCTAGTATAAAAGAATAAGCCTAGCCTCTCCTGCATCTCTGGCTTCCTGTCTTCACATGCTCTCCCTCACTCCTACAGATGCTCCCACCACTGGGATGCTATTCGGCATAAGGGCTTCAGGTCTCCAAAACTGTGAGCTTGAATCAACCTCTTGTCCTCCTACATTACCCAGCCCCAGGTCTGTTATGGCAACGGACAATGGATGGAGACACAGACTTAGAGCAGACACATGTGGGAGCAAGACAACAGTGTGTTCTGAACATCAGCGAGGGTCCGGCCCCGAGTGCTCTAACAGCACAGGGAGACCAGCTGTCCTGGCTGGGAAAGCCTCACCCAGGCAGCAGCATCTTAAATGTGGCCTTGAACGACGGTTTGGTTAGGCTCAGGGATAGGAACAGCCTAACACCATCCTGATCAATGGATGACCACTTTCAACCTGACAGGTCTGTGTCAGGGCTTTACATGCATTTTTTAAAATCTTGTTTATGCCTCACAACAGCCACACCAGGAAAGTAAAATCATTTCCCCATTTTAGAGAAAAGTGCTCAGTCAGACTGAGTAAGTGGCAAAGCTAGGGTTCAGTCCTGCCTGACTCGGCAAATTATGCTCCTAAAGCCTCTGCTCTAACACTCGGGGATTCCAGCACAAGTGTAGTGAAGGAGAAGCTTAGGGCTGGAAAGTTAAAGTGGGGCCGCTGTGTCAGGGAGGGAGGCGCCTTTCTCTGAAGGGAGGAAGGAACCTCCACTGTGATGCGGCCTTGACTAAACAAGTTCAGAGTTGGTGAACTCAAGGGGCTTCCATAGCCTAGACAGCTCATGGCAAGAGCCTCGGGTGATTGCTGACGTCATAAATAAGAGTGCCAATTGCTAAATCAACAACAGGAGTCACTGGGTACAGGCTCCCCACGTAGCATCTCTGTCCTTAATGTGTTTTACTATGAAACTTAAAGACAACACTACTAGTCGAACAATACCCTATACCTTGTGCGGTTGTGTGAGTGCAGCCTATTGAAATCCTTGCTTAGTATATACTAAGTTGATCTTCTGTATATGAAGGTAATTGAAAATGAAACTGGATGAAGCACAGGATGGGAGAGGGAGAGGAGAGGGGGGAGGGCCGCGGGAGGCAGGGAGGCGGGGGGGAGCCACAATAGTACAAAAGTTGCACTTTGTAAATTCACATTTATTAAATAAAAAATAAATAAATAAATGAGGATAGGTGAGTGGTAAAAAACAAAAACAAAAACAAAACAAAACAAAACAACAAAATAAAGTGGGGCCACTGCAAAGAGAACCCAGATGATGGCCCAACACGGGGGCCTGCCTATACTTTGACCCAGCAGTTCCATTCCTAGGATTCTGTCCAAAGTAAACACTCACAGATATGAGTAAAAAAGTAGTCAAAAATGTGTAAAAATGCTTGTTTAGAGTAATGAAAATAAAGAACCTAATGTCTAGATAATCAAGGGTTGGCAAAATAAGTGATGATATATCTTTCAATAAATGCCACATCTTTGGGATATGTTGTGACACAAAAAGATAATAAAAATCTATTGCTGTTTTAAGGGGCATAGTGAAAACAGAACATACAGTATGATCCCACTGCTATATAAAAAAAGATTGATTAATGCATAGAAAAAGGAATCAGAATGTGTTTTTAAGTGTTAGCAATATTACTGTTCGGGGAGAGAGGAACAGATCTTTTTCTGTTTGATTGTTTATATTTTCTCAATTTTCTACAGTGGTCATTTTAAAATTTGGGAAAAATCATTTTGAAAGAGTTTTCTTGTTTAAAAAATCATGTTAAAGGGCTGGCACTGTGCTGCAGTGGGTTAAGCTACCATCTGTAGCACCGGCAACCCATATGGCTGCTGGTTCGAGTCCTAGCTGCTCCATTTTTGATCCAGCTCTCTGCTAATGTGCCTGGGAAAGCAGCAGAAGATGGCCCAAGTGTTTGGCCCAGCTCTGGCTGGGCCATTTGGGAAGTGAACCAGCAGATGGAGAACTCTCTCTCTCTCTCTCTGTAATTCTGCATTTCAAATAAATAAATAAAAATTTTTTATAAAGGCATGTTAAGAACACTTGTCATTCCCCTTCTCCCCTCCAAGATCATATCAATAGTATCAAGAGGGTAGGAAAGAGGAGAAATAAATAAACGCCCACTGCAAAGAGGATTGGGATGGTAGGATCCTACTGATGAAAGGTTTCCACAAATGTCTGGAACATAGGAAATGGAGAAAATGATACTGAGTGAAATGGAAGGAAAAGAAAAGCTGGGGAAGCTTCTCTAGGGTTCTGAAGACACTGCCTAAGGAAAACCAGAGCCATTGGTGCGGAGGCCGGCACCTCAAATGAGGCTGTGCACAGGCACCAGCTCACCCAAATGCAGGCAGCTGCTACCAGGAAACAGCTCTCAGCTCACTACACAGCAAGGGAATGCGTGTCAGTGACCAGGATCAACAGCTTGTGACAAAAACCAGCAGTGAACAAGCATGTGCATAACAGAAATGGAGCACCCCAGCTAGAAGAAACGCAAATCAGGATCGGGGAGAATTCTGAAGAAACAGTAATGAGAGACACCAAAAGAATATTCTATCTGTAACACAAGATGGTCTGAAAAAAAATTCAAGAAGAAGGAAGAACTTTTGGAAATTAAGAATGAGATCACTAAAACTGAAAATACAATAGATCTGAAAGATACAGTTAAGTAAATACCCAAGCACGCAGGGGCCAGTGCTGTGGTGCAGCAGGTTAAGCTGCCACTTGCATCACTGGCATCTCATATCTAAGCACCAGTTCAAGCCCCAGCTCTTCTGCTTCTGATCCAGCTCTGTGCTAATGTGCTGGGAAAGCAGCAGCAGATGTCTCAGAAATGGAGTAAAGCAGCAGAATAAGAGCAGGGATGGAAGCAAAAAGGTGGAGGCTACTGCAAAGGAAATGGACAGTCTGATGTTAAGTGCAACCTTCTGGGAATTAGAAGAAAGACACTATTGAAACTAGGTCATCAAGAACATAAAGGTATGAATATGAAACAAACTAAATTGTGATATGATTTTAAACAATTAATAAAATATAAGGACAATTAACTCATTGAGCCATGACATTAGGAACATTGTTCCCTAAATGGCAACTAGGATCACATCTGAATCACATTGAAGGACACTGAATTCTCTTCACTGAAAACTGCTGCAGTCATAATAATGTACATATTTATGATTTTTTAGCTTCTAAAATTAACTTATGCATAAAGCACAGAGGATAAACTATAATTACAATCAGAACACGAATATTATCTATCTTGACCACATGAAAAGGAAGACTATAACAAAACACTGTTAGGAAGTGAAAAGAAGGAAGAAAAGAGGGCAGAGGAAAACACTAAAACTTTCATCACAGTAATGTGGAAAACCAAACATCAGTCCTATAGACTTTCACTCAGGCCTGACTTGC